CTTGAATTATTTACCTTTTATGAATGACCTGCAGCACATTGCTAGAGGTTTGGTTGTTTTTGTTGTTGGAGGTGTTATTCTCTATCCTGAACAAGGCAGGTGTTTACAATATGCCTTCTACCTAAGAACATTATGCTTGTGTTTATCGATAAAATAAAATAAATCCATCCACTGAAACCCACAGTGTTATATATAACCCCATTGCTCAGTTTAAAAGATCATGCTGCATGAGATTTTTCAGCAGGTGCAATTTCCATTTCAGCACAGATGTGCGTGGCTAAGCTAAGCACAATATTTTCCAGAGGAAATATCTGACAGGAAATCAGTGGCAAGCACCAGAAAGCACAATCCCTGCACCCCCACCCAAAAGGAGTGCCAGGAAAGGAAGAAAAGCAGCAAAGCTCCTGCACCACAGCTCTGGGCAGGGCAGGAGGGGGAAAGCCCCAGGAGCAGGGCCAGCACTGGGGCTTGGCAGTGAGATCTGGTCCCACAGCCCTGCAGGGACATGGGGACAGGGACATGGGGACAGGGACATGGGGACAGCTCCTGGGGCTCTGGTCCCAGAAGCACAGGTGCTCACCCAAGTAGTTTTTTGACAGTTTTCTCTCTTACATCTTGCATTCAAAATGATTTAGTTAGGAGACGCCTCTTTGTGGATAATATGACAGCTACTTCCCACTTACCCTTCTGTAAAGAAACAATTGAAATGGATGCAACAATAAAACAAATGGCTAACGTGATTGCTATTGATCATTTGCCAGATTTTAAATGAATGGCCCACGAGCTAAAGGGGAAGGAAAACAGTGCCACAGACTGCCCGTGAGTCGGGAGCGAGCTGGCCGGAGAGCTCAGCTGGAAATCCACGGAAAGCCGAGCACCAGCACGTGGTTCCAGCCACGCTGAGTCCTGGCCGCCTGTGCGCTCTCACCTACCTTTTCGGCTGACTGGGCAGTGCCAAAAAATATTGGAATGAAGGCAAGCCATACTATACAGGTAGTGTACATAGTGAATCCAATGGGTTTGGCTTCATTAAAATTCTCTGGGACCCCCCGAGTCTTGATGGCATAGACAGTGCACGTCACCATGAGCAGAATGCTATAACCCAAGGAACAAATGATCTGTAGATCCGTAATGTCACACTTGAGAACTCCTCTGGCCTGGTCGGGGTTCATAGTTTTCTGCTCATCATAATCTATGATGATGTTGGGGGGGTCAACCGCAAACCAAATGAAGACCCCGAGCAGCTGGACCGAAATGAGGCTGGAGGTGATGGCCAGCTGCGAGGTGGGGCTGATCAGCCGCGGCGCCGTCACCGACTTCTTGCCCTGCTCGAAGATGCGGTAGATGCGGTTGGTCTTGGTCAGCAGCGCCGCGTAGCTGATGCACATGCCCAGCCCCAGGAAGATCCTGCGGAAGGAGCAGACGGCCACGTCGGGCTTGGCGATCATCAGGAAGGTGATGATGTAGCACAGGAAGATGCCCGTGAGCAGCACGTAGCTGAGCTCGCGGCCCGAGGCCCGCACGATCGGCGTGTCGTTGTAGCGGATGAACGTGGCCACCACGAAGATGGTGGCCACGATGCCCAGCATGGCCAGGAAGACGGGGATGACGGCCCAGGGCGAGTGCCACTCCAGCTTGACGATGGGGATGGAGCGGCAGCCGGTGCGGTTCTCGTTGGGCCGCTCGCTGTAGGAGCACAGCAGGCAGGTGACTTCGTCGGCCTGGTACTGGTACCCGTCGCACAGCTCGCAGTGCCAGCAGCACGGCATCCCCTTCACCATCTTCTTCCTCTCGCCCGGCCGGCACGGCTGGCTGCACACCGAGGGTGGCACGGTGCGCACCCCTCCGCCCCACTGCATCTCCTCGATCTGTGGGACAGGACACAAATGGGTTTAGGGTTAGGGCTGGTTTGGGGCTGGTTTGGGGCTGGTTTGGGGCTGGCTGCACACCGAGGGGGGCATGGAATGCACGGCCCTGCCCCACTGCATCTCCTGGGTCTGGGGGACAGGGACACAGACGGGCTCAGGGTGAGGGCTGGCAGGCACAGACATGAGCTGGGAAGGAAGGGAGGGACTCGGGGAGCCCCAGCACACAAACCCCGAGAGGACAAACTTCCCATGGGGCACAGTCCTGGAACCACAGCTGGGGTTGCTGTGTGGGGCTCTGGTCCCTCCTGTGCTCACTGCCTCCGTTTCTCATTTCTGGTTGTCCTTAAGTCTGATGGAATGGCATACAGGCCCCGATAAACCAGAGTGAAAAGCTGTTTTTCATGAGAATTAGTGAGAACCTTGCAAACCTTGAGGGCAGGCAGGACTTCCATTTGCTCTCCACAAACCTTGGGGCTTCTTACCAGGACAGAACAGAGATCTCCCTGCCTGGAACTGCTGCTGACCAGGGAGGATTTGAAATGGGGTGGGAATGTGTTTTCTATAGGGATCAGTGAGAAGTGGGGAAGGTCTGCCTTACAAGCCACATGAGCATCGTGAAGGACAAAGAAAATGGTCATCACTGAAAACCACAGTAATTAGACATTCCATTTCAAAGGCACATTCAGCTTTTGAAATGCCACACGTGCTTCTGGGAATGCAAATGATAAATGATTACATGAAATACAAGGAAAGTCTCACTTACTCTGCAGTCTGGAGAATCCTGAGCTCCCAGGTATGTGACAAAGGCTGCCAAGCTCTGTGGGCTCACAAGTCTTTTCAAACCATGCCCGACTAAAGGCACTCACCAAGAACAGGGAAGGTTCAGCACTGGAGCCCCAGTGCAGCAGTCCAGACTGGAAACCTGGGAAGGAATTCCAGCACCACTTCCCAGCCCAGCTGCACCTCAGCGGCTCCAGCAGCTGCTCTGGGTGTGTGTGTGTGTCCTTTCCAAACACAAAACCTGATCCCCTGGGATAGGTGTGAATAAGAGTTATTAAAAATAAAATTTCAGCTATGTTTCTTTAGGTCACTTAAATGCTGACAAGCTCCATGATTTTCCCTACAAGTCAAAATTCTCAGATGAGTTTCTTGAATCAGCTGCCTTAATTATTCATATAAACAGGAAGACTTGGAGGGGCAAGTCTTAAATTGAAGGATTAAGTTGCACTTTCCTAATTTAAATCAAAACAGACCCTGAATCATCTTCATTTTATATTTGTGAAAACACCAAACCCTGAAGTTACACTTGGCTCACACACTGGAGTACCTAGAGTCTTTGTGTGAATGCTGTAAAAATAATCCCTCAATAAGAGATATTCTAGAGGTCTGCCACAGCAGCTCTAGCACCGACCTTGGACAGATTTCTGCTGTTTCTGGAGAAAATTCAGGATGCAAAGTGCCTGTGAGGGAATGCTGGGCACCAAGACCTGCAGCAGGGGGTGAGAACCTGAGTCAAGCTACAGACACTTTCCCCACTCAGAAAAGCATGTCTGAAAGGAAATTTGTCCCTCACCTACACATCCTTGAGATACCTCCAAGGGTCAGCTGGAAATGCCCCGCACAGTCTGCAAAGGAGGCAGCAGAAAATCTCATCCATTGTGAGAAAGTGCTCTTGCAACTACCAGAGGAACTGGGGGTTTTAATTCCATTTCAGGCCAGGGATGAGGGAGTTTGTTCCTCCCACAGCACCAGCACTGCCAGAGCAGCCAGACAGGCACCCAAAGTGAACCAGCAGTGCCACACCCTCAGCTCCACCTGGGCAAGGCAGTGCCAGGGCACCAGGAGCCCCTCCTGCAGCTCTGGCAGATTTGGGATTTGGGATTTATGTCCTCCCTGCTCCCACACATCCCCCAGCCCCTGAATGCCTCCAGCAAGAGGGACTGGATCCACTCACAATATATATTCTCAGGATGTCCTCTGCAGAACAAACATTAACAAGAAATGCTTAGTCTGTCTCATAAGGCCTAATGTAATTGTTCATTTTAATGAATAAAGTAACCCAGTATCTGTGTGTAATTCAAACATTGCTGCTTTGCTTCCCTCCGCCACAAACATTTCCATAATAAGCCATTTGTTCTGAACTTAATTGTTTCGTGCAATGTTTGATTAAAATAAAAATCAGTACCAAAATAATTACATTAATGGTAATTAACCTACTCGGGGAAGAAAATAGCCACGTTCCCTGCTAGCACTTCCCTAATGATGGTGCCATTAATTACACGGCCACGTAGAGCCAGCGGCGAGGACTGGGCACGGATTTATTGCCACCTCCAGACTGCAGCTCCTAACTCAGCACTTCAAACATTTGTGTATATTCCACTTTGCAGACAGCAATATTTGCATGACTTAGCTCTTCAGGCTCGGCTATTAATGTCTTGTAATTACTTCTTAAATCCAGGGATTTACCATGATAATGGTTTTAAGCTAAGAATATGTCAATAACACATCCTCAGCAGAGTCTCCTGCAAAACATCAGCTGAAATCCCTTCAAGAGATAACGGTGATGATAAGCCAGAGTGGCAGAGAGGATGCAGGGCTGGCCCAGACACGGTGCTCACCCCACACCGGAGCTGCTTTTCATTTCCCTGCCTGCAGACACTGTGGGGAAGCCTTGCCCAGCCCTGAGCCTGCCGGGGCTGGAGGAAAACCAAACCCCACTGGTTCTGACCTGTGCCAGACTCCACCAGTTCAAACCCCACCAGTTCTGACCCCACCAGCTCTGACCTGTGCCAAACCCCACCAGTTCTGACCTGTGCCAAACCCCACCAGTTCAAACCCCAACAGTTCTGGCCTGTGCCAAACCCCACCAGCTCTAACCTGTGCCAGACTCCACCAGTTCAAACCCCAACAGTTCTGACCCCACCAGTTCTGACCTGTGCCAAACCCCACCGGTTCTGGCCTGTGCCAAACCCACCCTGCACGGAGCAGAGCAGCCCCCACACCCCTGCACATCTGGATGTACCATACCCGTGTGGTACCCACAGCCTGGCACCACAGAGCTGCCAGGGACCCCACACCCCTCCTGAGGCAGGACAGCTCCTGCTGGCAGCACCTCTGCTGCATGCACAGCTGCCAGAGCTCTGCTGCATGCACAGCTGCCACAGAGCTCTCTGCTGCATGCACAGCTGCCAGAGCTCTCTGCTGCATGCACAGCTGCCACAGAGCTCTCTGCTGCATGCACAGCTGCCAGAGCTCTGCTGCATGCACAGCTGCCAGAGCTCTCTGCTGCATGCACAGCTGCCAGAGCTCTGCTGCATGCACAGCTGCCAGAGCTCTCTGCTGTCCCCACTCCTGCCCCACCTGAGCCCTGCAGCCCAGCCCTGCCCCAGCAGCTGCTTTTCCTCTCCCCTGGCTGTGTGACCCCACAAGAAGCAATTCTCAAACCTCCGTTATTCCCCTTTCATTTCTACTCTTCCTTTGTCTTTCCTTTAGCATTTGTCACCTTTTGCAGCAGCCCCACCTGCCCCAGAGAGTTCTGGGAGCACTCAGAGCACCAGCTTTAATGAGATCCAAGGGCCATTTGTTCTACATTAAAGCAAGGACATTTCCAGCATGCCATTGATGCAGGCAAAAATGCTTAATCCACAGTTTTTGCAAAAATGCTTATTATTATACATTTCTGTTGACACACAAGAAAATGGAAAATTAATTATTCTAATGCCTTTATATCTGCCTACAGCTTTGTGTTGTCTTCTTGCTAATGGAAGGGGGTGGACCGTGCATCTTCAGTATTCATCCTGCAGCCCCTGCATAATATTTTTTTTAATTAAAAAAAGAGCATGTGCTTCCTAATGTGGATTTATAACACACAGCTCTTGTCTCTTTAAATTGATCGGTTAGGGCAAAACTATCTTCTGAAAGCAGAGTTAATCCAAGGGAACTTTTTGTGCTCCCAGTCTGGAAAGGGCAGCGAGGAGAGGGAGCCCAGCTCGTGTGAGTGATTTGGAGAGCATTCCTGGCATTTATTTCTCCTCCTAATTCCCCAGCTGACTCAAGGACCAGCCTCTTCCAGTCACATTATTTGGTGCTGGTTTTCCCCTCCCAAAGCCTCAGCACATCTCGTGTGCAAGGCAGAGTAACACGGGGCAGGGAAGGAGGACGAAAGAAATACAAAATTCCGAGGGAAATTCAGCACCTGGCTCATTTAGGCCCTAATTAGATTGCTGCGGTGATATTAATAATACTAATAATATCCAATCATCCCGCTCAGGTTATGCTCAGCCAGTTGGCCCCAAAAGAACTGCAGCTCTACACAGGAAATTAAGGATGGCTGGTGGCACTGCAGCTGCCCCCAGGACAGGGAATTTTCTCCCCACTCAGGGCTGCACTGGGCAAAAACCCTGCCCTGGGGAGCTGGGACTCACCAGCTCAGGGGTACCACGGCCTGTCCCACCCTGCCAGCTGCACTTCTGGGAGGAAAAGGCCAAAATCTGCTCTTGCAAGGGAGGCTGAAGCCTGTAGAACCCTTCCCCAGCCAGTCAAATACAGGCCCTGCTACACCAGGGTGCAATCCCTGAAATTCCCTGGAATTAGCACTGGGGAGCAGCCCCAGGAGCCCTGGCCAGGGAAAGGTGGGATTGCCCAGAAAATGAGGATGCTCCATGGGAATCATCCAGCAGCACTCGCACTAAATGTGCATTTCAGTTCAGTGGAAGAAAAAAATAAATAAAAGAGGAAACCAAAGCAAAGAAAGGCTTCCTCTCACGTTGTTTCAGAGCAGACTAAAGACCCTGTGCAGCAGTTTATTTGGGGCCATTATTGTCCATCATGTGAAAAATTAGCTGGGGACACATCAAATTCCACATTATACATCTGATGTCACAGCCTTTCCTTCAGAAATCAGCATTCAGGGGCATTTAAATAGTGATTATTTCTGACCCACTCAATACATGAACCTGTCAGGAACCTCTGTGCTCTGCTTAAATGCTGGAGACTCCGAG